ACGTGCGAGATTTGAAAACGGCACCCGCCGACGACAACACGAACAACGAGGACGCCGAGTAAAACAACGCCAAGTGGCGAGCCACGCGAAATGTCCAGAGAGACACGGCACTTCAGTCCGGGATGACGACCGAACAGGACGTACTCGCCGAAATCGACGCTCTGTTGCGGGACCAGGAGCAGTACGACTCGACCGCACCAGCTATCGGGGACCAGTGGATCCGACTCCACCGCGTCGAGCCCGAGGCAGCATCGCCACCGGCAGGACTCGCGCCGCAGCAAACAGTCCCGCGAGTCGGGACAGTAATCCAACGGTCGGATGCTACAAACGAACGGAAGCGGGCATGGCTCCAGACGGTCCCGCCACCGCGCCAGACCGACCGACACCAGCCCCCGTACCACCCAGACGCTCCAGCCAGCACGACCTATGGGACCACTGCCGCCACCGCCCATCCCGGTGGAAGTCGAGACCGGAGTAACCGTCGACGTGCCGCACTTCGCGGCCCACGTCAGCCGTCGGTACAAGACCCGCCTCGGAAACCGGCGCTGGGTCATCCGCTTCAACAGCAACGGCCAACCACGCTCTGTCCGCGAGCTGACGAAACACTAAGCCTCTGAATGCAGGATGGACTATAAAGTTCAGCACTGTTGGGTAGGTCTTTCCTGAAGTAATGCCTTCGTAGGTGGTCCCGGGGAGACTTGCCTATAGTGCGGAGGATGGTCCAAAGAGAGGGGTTTTTAGCTGGTATTCCCGCTTCACGGGTGAGTCCGGCATAACCATTCAGGACCGGCCTGATGGTACGCGTAAATGCGTTTTCCCCTACTCTCGGAGAAAAAAAGGCCTCTGAGTGTAGACCTTTCGAAACGAGGGGGTGACGTAACGATGCGCCTCGAACCCGCATCGTTCCCGGCCAAGACCGCCGGATGCCGCCGATCGAAATCGATTGGGCGATGAGGCGGTCATAAGGCGCCCGCCGAATTTTTTAAAAAAAACCCGAGCCGTACCGCGAGCGGCGAAGTCCCGCGGATCCGACCGAAGTCGCGGACGCGCCGCGCGCGGCGCTGCATTACGCAGGCGCACCGCCCCGCCATGCGCCGCCGATTTGAGCGCCGCCAAAATCGGCGAATTTTGGAATATAAGGGAGGCCGAGCGACGAAAAAAGAGATTCCGTCGCCGACCAGTTCCAAGCTCGAAGGCAAATAACCGCTCCGAATCCTCCCAGGCCTTCCTACGACCAAACGTGGGGTAGAGAGTACTCCGCCTCCATCGGAAGCTCCCGAGTAGCGTTCGTAGGGACACCGCTCCCGCCACCGACTGTCCAGATACAGAGGGGATGAGGTGTTCCTCGCCTCCAGCAGGAGTTTCTGCTGTTTGGATCGGCCGGCATCCATCTCTCCCGAGTGGAAAACAGAGAGTCTCAGTGAGAAATGATTCGTCGATCGACGTCGAAATGATGTCGAATCGACGTCAATTCGACGGTGTCGATGTCGATTCGACGTCGATCGACGAATCATTTCTCACTGGGGTAGAGTGTGCTCTGTCTTCGCCCGGGCGTTGCCGGCATCCACTCGAACCGCGAGAACCGCGCCACTGCGCAACAATTTCGGGCCGTGCCGGCTAGCCGCCAACCGTGGCGCGCATGAGGCCCGGCTTGTACATAATAGGCTAGGATGTTTGTCATTGTTAGCAATCGCGCTCTGTAAATAACAACCACTGTCGCGAACGTCCGTAGGAATTTCATGTAACCGGTTGATCGCGACCGGCGGCCAAACCACTTGTAAGATCCGCAATAAAGATCATTGTTCCCGAACCAATGTATCTCGATCTGTCCGCGAACCTGGCCCCGACGAGCTAATCCGTGCTCGCAGAATAAAAACTAAAAACAGGTCGTTTTATAGTTTTGCAAAAGATAGGTTATCGTGATTGATTTTGATTATTCTAATGCGTATCCCTTTGTCGCTGTGTTATTGCACAAAGGTGCTGCACGTCCACCCATTTTTGCAATAAACAGCAAACTCACACTATTATCAAACTTCGTGCGATGTGCGGTTATATTTTAGTCTAGACTGATGGCAGCTTAAAGAAAGAGTGAGATATTCGTACTGCTCTCTCTCTCTCTCTCTCTCTC